CGTTACGTTACGTACGTACTACGTAGTACGACGGTACGACGGTACGTACGTACTACTACTACTACGTACGTACGTACTACGACGAGAAGAAGGAAGAGAGAGAGAGAGAGAGAGAGAGAGAGGGTTATGAACTCTTCCCATTGAAGTGAATAAAATGTTGGGAAGTGTTACCATGAGGCCCAACTAATGCAACCACAATGAGTCTCCCCCTCAAAATGCATCTGTTTAACCTAAAAGCATTCCAAATCTCTGCACACACATTTCGTCTCCTAAAATATTGGATTACAAGCTTTAAAATACTGCAGATCTCACTGGTGTAGGATCCATTGATATGGACAGTTCAAACAGTTCAAACCGGAGAGAGAGAGAGAGATGGAAATTCTCTTTGCAGAACGAGATTTTTGGGGGGGGAGAGAGAGGCCGCTAAATATCTATCGACTATCAGAGAGTAATGGTAAATATACCTTTAACTCGATGTAGGAGACTTGGGGCGTACTTGATCTTCCTCATGTTCTAAATAGTAGCTTTCTCTCATACTAAAACTCTCTCTCTCTTCTCTCCTCTCTCTCTCTCTTCTCTTCTCTCCCCCAAGCAGCTCTCTCTCTCTCTTCTCTTCTCTCTCTCCCCCAAGCAGCTCTCTCTCTCCCCCATGTAGCATCTCTCTCCTCTCCTCTCTCTCTTCTCTTCTCTCTCTCTCCTCAAGCAGCTCTCTCTCTCTCCCCCATGTAGCATCGCTTTCTCTCTCTTCTATCATCTCTCTCCCCCAAGCAGCTCTCTCTCTCTCTCCATGTAGCATCTCTCTCTCTTCCCCATGTAGCATCTCTCTCTCTTCCCCCCATGTAGCATCTCTCTCTGTGGAGGTGTTGAAAAGATAGAGATGCCTACTATCTTTCCAGGGACGTAAATGATCCTCCATTTTCTGTTGAAAATACGACAATGATGCCTCCCTCTCTCTCTCTCTCTCAATTGAACCATCGACTGCCTATTCTGGTATGTCATTTGTCTTACTTACCTCTCTTTCTCTCTCATGTTTTCAATATGTTCACCTTTTTCTCTCCCCCTCCCCCTCTCTCTCTCCATTGTACTGTGAAATTCTGCAGTTCTGATCTATCATGCCTCCTACGTACCCCTCTCTCTCTGCAATGTACAGCTGAGTCCTCTGGTTTACCTGCTATGGCATTTCTACCTCTCTCTCTGAAGATGCGATTCCCATTTGATAGGGACAGTGTGCTGCAAAAAGTAAGCTGCTTACTGATTAAAGCAAGATAAATGCACTCTGTGTACCCTAACCCCAACCCTTCCATTTGCACCATTTCAGCAATAAAACAAACCCTGAGCTATTCATTTATGAATTATGACCCCCCATCTCTCTCTCTCTCTCTAACCCTTTTATCTCTTTTCCTTGTCACCTTTTCCTGCAGCTCTTCACGCTTATCTAAGCAACAGATGGCTAGTTCTCAAAGGGGACCATTTGGGATCTGCAAGTCCTCAAAGACCCAACGTCTTGCCATGGATAAGAACCCCAAAAATCGGTTAGTTAGGGTTAGGGTTTCGCTTCAAGGCCTGGTACCGTTGAAATAAGGCTTGGATGTCTTAGGGTTAGGGTTTCGACGACAACTCAAATGTTATCATGGCACAAAAGTTTGGGATTGTTGGGCTTCTGTTTACAGCTTTGATTGGGTTTTCTCCTTCATTGTCCTTTTGAAGTTCTGGGTTCACTGGAATATAGGCCTTAGCTCATACCACCATATGAAACTTTGGGTTTCTTAGATTTAGGGTTTTTGAGATAGGTAGTATAGTATCAATACTCAACAGGATGAGGAGTTTCTGGGGAAGAGAAAATAACTGTACTGGTTTTCGCTTTCATTTTGAATTGTTTTTTGATTTTGGTACTGATACTAGTCAATAACCATGAAGCAAGTACTGCAATAATCGTCGGATGAGCAGGCGCCTGATAAATGGGGTCATTTTGTCTGGTTCCTATATGGTTATTGGGTTGTATAAGTAGTTTTCTTACTTGGAACTGACCTCTTGTGTGAAAAGGAAGGATGCTACTGGAGTTTGGGCTGTGTCTCCCAAAGGAAAGGAATTTATTGTCCCATTGAAGAAGAAGAAAGAAAACAAAATAGCATGCAATTGTGGTTTTAATCCCTGGGCTTGACTAGAAGGAATGAGCACAAATTTCAACTGGAATGTCCCTCTTGTTGTTGGTAACATGAGGTTGTGAGTTTGACACAGCTTATCTTCCCAAACGAAAATAAGCTCCAAATGTTGCACATCATTTGGCGAAATCCATCCATGGAGGACCATAGAGCCAAATTTTTGAGAGACATTGTTTGAGTTGTTCGACTTGACCGCACCGGTGCGAGTGTACACACGTGCAATTGTGTAGACCCACAATTCATGATTCCACACGCGTCTGCGTTCGTGAATGCCACATATATGCATATTCATGTGTGGGTATGCTTTCCTGTTCACATGCTCATGCTTGTGTTACATGAAAAAGGATAGCAATGTAAATGAATGGACATCAAGTGGGTATGCTCTGGCATGTCTTTATTCCTTATGGTTTATCTCATGATGGTAGTGACCTGAATTTGGCTGGATTCAAATTGATCCTTACAGAGTTGCATGCCTTATGACACTAGGGAAAGTTGTGGTCCTCTATGCTTGATGGATGCTATAAAGAAGTGAGGTAGGTCCCCAATCTAAAACCTAGCTCTGTTGATTTTTCTATTAGATCTCCATACATATCTATTTAGAGCGCTCATGGGGTTCAGATCAGTCCTCTAAGATCTTCCTTGTTGGAAGTATTTATTGAATTCTTTATTCCATCCTTTTCAAAGAGCCTAGCCATTTGATTTGGTTGCTTCCTATTGCTCGGTAGATGATTGACGCCAAACGTTTTAACTAGTAGATGAGTAAAGATGTCCTTATCTTGATCAGAAAGATGGCAACCGTAAAACCGAAAAGCTAGCCATTTCTGTAAAAGATCACTAAATTGAGTATCACTTTGACACACACGATATCAAGCAATTACTGCTAGATCAAATTCATTTGGAAAATAATAAAATTTAATGAAATCCCCAAAATAAACATTGTTGAACTCAAGAAGTTGGTTTCTAATTTTGACTCGGTGTCCGGATTATCTACAATGATAGTTCTGCACTCTTACTCTTGAATTATTGTCATCTTTTAGTCATTTTAATCACAATCGTGCTTCATCACATGGTCCCATGCAGCACTTCCAATACTTAGAGCTTTAGTGGTCCCAATTCCAAAAGGATGTAAGTTCCTTCGCTGTAAAAATATTTATTAGTTATTCAGTAGGTATATGTTCCCTGCAACATAGTAACAGATTCGCTAGGATTGATGCCAAGATTGTAGAAATATCACTCCTATTAATTTAGGATTTGATAACAGATTTTTTTTAACATTGTACTTAAAATAAATGGGCTTTTGAATCATGTTTCTCTAGGATAGTATGTTCAAAGGTGTGGTTGTCTCATATTCCTGCAGATGTTATAAGATTAAATAGGTAGAATGATAGACCCTATTCAACAAAAGAAAATAGGAAAAAATATGTGTGAACTATGTGATGGTGATGCCTATTAGTAAAAACTAATGAATTGACCATTGTCCGAGTTCGATAAGTATAAATGCGGTCCACGTGTCCTTAGATGAGCCTCATCTTTTCTGTTTCTTTCCCATTCAAGTCTAGAACATGAATTTCAAGCATCTTCTCTTTACCAAATTGTTCTATATATCTGCCCTAAATTTCAGAATATCAATTCTTTACCTTGAATTGTGTTCCTATTACTACCGATATAGATAGTTAACAGAAAGACTTGTGAGCTTTAAGGAGCATTATCAAATCATATGAACAAGATCATCGAGATTCAAGTAAAAGTATATCATTGAGAAGTGCCAGTCGGTCATTGTACGGCTTCTTCGATCCAATTTTGCAGGTATGTTACCTCTTCATCTCATTAAATTCATGAAAATATAAGAAATTTAAATAGAGTTTAAGTTATTTACGATTTGAAAATGAATTATTTCATGTAGTTTCTGATATATTTTTGTGATTTTTTTTGTTCATCTTGAATTCATTTTTTATTTGTTGTAATTTGGAGCTATTTTTGACACTACTAGGCGGTCATACTTTGTTTTAGAGACAAATAATTTCATGAAATATGGCCAGAAATACGGAGGCATCCTGAAATCTGAATCCTTCTATTGGTCTCTGTTGATACACAAGGTGCAAAATGAATTTGTTATAGAAAAGTGGAAGTCCTCATTTCATGTAGTATTAGATACTTTCCCAAAAGAGAAACTTTTTTAGAGCTACTGAAAAGAAAAAACTTGTTCATAGATTGTATGAATCGCTCAAAATGTTACATCCATCAGAAATAATATTGAAGACCTATTATTATTTTAAAAGACAGCCTTTCATTGGTAGAATATTTGTATTCACGATCTGAACAATCATCAATTGGAACACCTGAAGTAACTAATTTGTTTGTATTGTGAAATATATAGCAGAAAATCCTTTCATGAATCATTTCAAGATAGTGATATCAATCAGGGGAATCTGGAGCTGAAGTATTCTTCTTGCCAATAGTAGTTCTATGCAGATTTAGATGATAATTTGGTGAATGATGAGGCCCATAAGATGATAAGAGATTCAAGATTGAAAGCTTCAGTGACAAAGCAAGAAGATGGAATTGATGATGGCAATAAGAATAAGGGATCGTCTAGCTCAAAGCCATGGTCAGGGCCTAGGGATCCTCGAATAGTGCGTGTCTCGCGTACTTTTGGTGGAAAAGATAGACATAGTAAAGTTAGTACAATTAAAGGATTGAGAGATAGGCGTGTGAGGCTTTCGGTTCCAACTGCTATCCAATTATATGATCTACAAGAGAGGCTTGGTTTCAATCAACCTAGCAAAGTTGTGGACTGGTTACTTGCAGCTGCTCGACATGAAATTGATGAACTCCCCCCACTCCAATTCGAACAAGCAAACTTTCACAATGATCCTTCACCTCAACTTATTTTTCAAGAAATCACCAAACCTCTAGCCTCTTCTAATTCTGCTTCAGATAGTTTGGTTGGTTTCAAGGACACCGGAGCTTGTTCCTTAAGCTTGTTCTCTAGCAACAAAAATGTAACGAGCAGTGATGCTACAATTGGAGGCGACCAAACAAACTTACAGAGAACTTCAACTTGGAATTTAGACTCGTTGAGAGAAAAGTCGAGTGTCATGCCAAGAGATAAGGACCTTGGAAAGAGCAGTTCAAGCAAAACATATGACCATGAATATCAAGAGAACATTCATACCCATGGATCACATGTGTTGGCTTACAATCCAGTCCCTACACCCAATCAATCTTCCTTCTCAAGCGTACTAAACAATATGATGCCAGGTACTTCATACTACCATTGGGAACATACAAATCCTGCTCTCTCTAATGCAGGAAGCCATGGATATCCATCCCAAGCAATAGAAACTCATAATTCTAATACTGTGTCCTTACCTCCATCCTTATCTCTAGTTTCTATGCTACAGCCTAATATTCGTCAAATTTCGGCAACACCATCGCAATTGGCCACCTACTTCGGTGCCCCATTAGATCTTGCTTCTAAACAACTCAGCCACCCTCAATTATTGAGTATGAATTCTCAACATATGAATCCGAACTCCCTAGGTCCACCTGTATATGCCATTAGTCCAACCATGAGACCATTTCAAGTGAACTTTGCCAATTACCATAATCCTCATCAACGAGATTATGACAATCAATCAAATACATTAGCTAAGGAGACTGCTTCTTCCAGTAATGACCAACTTGCAGATTCTTCTTCGATTGGTTTGCGTGGATCAAATGAGCAACATTTGATGTGAGAGGCTCCATTGCAGTAAGTGCTTATAGTGCCATGCAAGTGACATGCCATCAAAGCTATCTTCCATTAAGCACGAATGGGAAGGACAATGCTGCATCCCAGGTCAACAACCAAGACTCAATCCTGAATTGAGCAGTACTCGGGTAACTCTACATTTTATTTTATTTCCTTCCCAATGTTTTATTGTAATCACAATTATAGATGGCTCTTGTGGAATTAAATTTGAACTATAGAATTCCTATTAATTCATACAGTTTCTTGTTTACATTGTGTTAATCTCCAATACTTCAAGTAGCTCTCATATAAAGGAAACACATACTTGGTACCTACTTAGTTTCAAACAGTATAATAGCAGCTTATCAGCCATTCAATGTCAACAACCCGGTCGTTTGAAAAGTTGCAGACATCAGTTGCCTTGGGCGCTGCTCGTATGCTATTTGAAACCGTATACTATTCGAAACGAAGCGAGTACGATAGAATTCATGCATTAATGTGGTTTACAGAACACTAAATGGATATCCAGCACTTTTTCTTCATAGGTTAATACGTAGACCAAATATCATAGGAAATATAGAGTAGCTATAAAGACATGAGGTAATGAATTTGCATTCATACATAATGTCATGCTTTTATAAATAAAGGAATATACATTATATATGCATCTACATAAACATACAATACTATTGAAGAGACATCTATCAATAATTATTTTACATTTGAAAATGCCAACAAATATGTGAAGGAAAAGAGACATTCTTCTCTCAATCTTATAAGCTCTTTAAGCTGAGTCAAATTAGGATTTAAAATGACAGAAAGCCAGCATATGATTTTCATCAACAGTGTTTTACTACTTGGAGGAGTCAACTCGGACTCTCGGGCCCCCGAACTTAGGATTGCCTTCATAACATAAAATTAATGACTCAAATCAAATTATAAATGTCTTGCATTCAGTTTTGGTTATAAGTTTTGTAATTTTAATTATTTTCTATTTTTATATATTTTCTCATTTATTGAGACAAATATTTAAACATGTCTTTAATTGCTTTATAAAAACGTTTTCTCATTTTTTATATAAATCTTCCATTCTTTATCTTTTTCATTGTTTTTTCTTGATTTTAACAAATTTTCAAAATATCTTTCTTAGTTGAGCGTGTAGAGTATGCTCCGGTGGAAGCAGAGTTTATATTTACTCCAAAAGACCTACTTGCAAGGCTTTTGTCACTCTTAAGTTTTGGGACCACCTAAGATTCAGTACATGATTATTTTCAAAAGAAAAAAAAAATGAATCTGTGAGAGTTTTACATTAGATTTCACCCTCCAAATATTGGATGGTCTCTATTTAATCTAAGACATTATTTTTTTCTAGCATAGAGAGTTCGAAGCAAATTTTTTTTATCTAATTAATGTAAGTGTTATGGATTGAAGAGGTTACATCTCCAAAATTTAGGATCCTAAGATTATTCCTATCTTGGGTTTTTCCGGACAATATATTTCCATGGGAGTATAAATATTTTGGCTTCTTATTTTTTAAAACTTTTCTAGCCAGGTCAGAGTAGAGACGTAGGTGAATTGACTCGCTCAAATAACTCGGCCAGGCCGCTCTCGTGGCCAAGCTAAGTAGAAAAACCTTAGCCTGAATACATAACGTACTAAGCTTGAAGATTTCCAATAAGTGTCTTCAAGAAAATGAAGGAAAATGAAGGCCAATGAATGCATGGAAAAGAGTAAAAAATAAAATAAAGAGTAGTAGTTGAGTACATACTCAAATATAGGGGGGCTTTTATTTTAATGAAACTTTATGTGCAAGAACATAGTGTATTCTATGGCAGACCTCACATGTATGGCTTTTACATCTAAAGCCGCATATTTATGACCTTTATATCTATGTCACTGTTATTTCCATTCCTAACAAAACTAGGAGGATCAGAAACCTGATAGAATATTGAGACAGCAGAAGGTCAAGTAGTTGAGAGTGGCAATGCACATGGGAGCATGTTTAAAGAATTATTGTGGCATTTAATTGTACATTTCCTGTCGCGAAAAGAGCTACTTAGTAGGATTGTTGGAAATTGAAAACTCGGGATTCATTTTAAGGATCCCCGCATGTATTTATTAAAAAAGAAGAAGGAAAAATATGGATTTTGAGTTTCTAAACACCTACATCTGACTGTCCAAAAATTAGACGAGTTAAATCAGAAAAAACATGGATTTTGAGTTTCTAAACACCTAGGTTGACTGTCCAAAAATTAGATGAGTTTAATATTAAGATTTAACTTTCTTTAGGAATACATAGCATTTTTTCCTCTTTACTTGTAGAGTTGGTCGCTAGGATGAGGAGGTTATATCACAAAATTTGTGTCCTAAAAATATGCCTACATAAGGTGTACCTAAGGAAGTGAATTGACAATATGCTGCATTGGAGTACAATTTTGGGGAACTAGTTATGAAATAGAGCAAGTGGCTACTTGTATAACTGCTAAAGAACATTATCTCTGCTCCTATGAATTATTTACAAAACAGAAAATTGTATTAGCAACTTGTGTTTAGTTATTTAGCAGACCACCTAAATAGTTGGAATAAGATTCAAATAGTAATGACAAAGTCACTTTTAGTAACTTGAAACTCTCGTGTTAGCCATGAAATTTGCAGCATGTTGGTAAGTCATGGTTTCCTTTTCAAGACTTACTAGTGAGTAAAGTAACAAAGCTAAGTTCATCAAACTTCTTCACTTTGTGTATCATCCAGTTATGCTAGTAGATGAACTTAGGTTTTCCTTTTCCACTTATGCTAGTAGAAGAACTTAGGTTTTACTTTTTTTTTTTTATTCGAACTTAGGTTTTACTTTTTTTTTAGAGAGAAGGCCACTGTTCTAACCATTATATCATACCATAAGGATTATTAACAATGGCGGGGTAAGTTGTAGGGAAAATTGCTAAAAGCCCCGTAAAATATACTTTCTAGACACTCTACCCCTACCCTAAACTTTCCTCACTTCTTTTTCTCAAAAATCATCTTTTCTAACTAACATTCCCCCAACCTAAAAAATATAGAAATAAAGACAAAATTACCCCCCCTTTTTAATTTCTATCTTAAAAAGGGCGTTTGTGTAGGCAATCTGGCGTTTGTGTAGGCAGTCCGGCATTTGCGTAGGCAGTCTGGCGTTTTGTAACCGTCGATCCGGCATTTGCATAGGCAGACCGACATTTTGTGGGCGCCGTCTGGCATTTTGCGTACTGTAATAAAATCACTCCAGTGTTTTGATGCAGTTGTCCGGTAGTGTATGTGCACGGTCCGGCGATATGTTTAATGTAATGTGGGCAGTCCAACGATTTGAAGTAGTGCTCTGGCAATTTACTTACTAGAATGGGGTCAGTCCGACGCAATGTGCGGTCCGACATGTGTTTCTATAATGATGTTAAGTTTGGCGTTTCACATCATCGCTCTGATGTTATGGTCGATCTATCTGGCACTAGGAGGATTCAGTCTGGCAATTTCTTACTCGTAGCCTGGCATTGCAGAACTTCGCTCCGGTGATTTTACTACTGGAGACGTAAGTCCGGCATTTCATGGTCTTAGTCTGGCGTTTTAGATACATGAGTAGGGTGTCCGGAGGTAGTAGTCTACGGTCTAGCATATCACTGTCTAAATAAGCAGTTCGGTATTGTAGAAATGCAGTCCGACATATGTTGTAAGTCCGGCAAATAACAACCGTGGTCCGACGAAAGTATTATTGGGTCTGTCCAAATGATTTGTTTGTACCGTGAAGGTACATGAAGGGGTATTTTTATCAAAAAAGATATCACTTTTTGAGTTGGGGGTATTAGTTAGAAAAGATGATTTTTGAGAAAAAGAAGTGAGGAAAGTTTAGGGTGGGGGTAGAGTGTCTAGAAAGTATATTTTATGGGTTTTTCAGCAATTTTTCCTACTTTTTATCATATTGTCCATTCATTCCCTTGAGTAAAATTCTATTTAAGAGTAATTTTAGGGCGTCATTGAAATTTGGAGACGTAACTTCTTGAACTTAATAACCAATAAATGTTGCTGAACAATAATGCCCTAAAATTGAACAACGGTTGTCCATTATGTTGAAAAGTGTTTAAGAATATAAAATTTTATTTTATTTGAAATTATTCATTTACTAATTTTAAAGTGGATCTCAATATTTATATATAAAGGGGACTTTTTTTTCCCCAAACTCCATTTCTATGTGACCAACGCATATGTAGAAATGCAGGCCTCTTAATAAATCTATTTTTGAGATGGATTTTAAGACTTAAGTTTTAGGGTATGGTTTCCATACGGTTGCAACCGTAAACAATTCCACTACGGTGCAGCTTCAATTTTTATCGTAATATATAGTTTTGATGTAAAATATTCTTGAGATTATCTCAAATTTTATTTTTATATCTAATTATAAATTTTAAATTTAAAAAATAGTTAAAATCAAGTCAATCTATGAACATATGAAAATCTTGAAAATGGATAGTGTAGATAATATATTGTAAGATGCACTATTTTGATACTCAAAATCTTTTTAATTTTCATAGTCATACATCTCGATATCGAGATGATCAATCACAGGGTTTTTTAACATTAAAACAACTTTTTCCGATGGATTTTTTACCTGCATCTGTAGTTCTACATTATACGGTTGCAACCTTATATAAACTTTTTCCTAATTTTTAAGGACATGTAATCTCTAACATGGAGATCATGAATATGAATAAATAAATAAATTTTAAAAACTAAAAATAATAATGCTAATAAGAAAACATTTGGACTGTTAGTTTCCATTATTTTTAGATGAAACACCTACTTGCATCCATCTTTAATATGGACGTTTTACACTTTCTGGACCATATATGTAGAAATATAGTCCAGCCCCCATGAAACAATTTTTCTTCTTACAATCACGTAATCTTTCGTTTGGAGTAACCCAATCTGTAAGCCAAAGCCCTTTAAGCATCTTGTTCTCGCACCGAGGCAACATGCACATCAACATATGTATGGCCAAACATGTACATGCATGACACAATCATGTGCGCACGCATGCACCACACACAACATGCATATATGGTGTAAATGCCACCTGGATCATACTTTATAGGCATGCTAACTCCAATACTTTCATGTCTGCATCCAACCCCATAAGTAAGAAAGAAATTTTCTTAGGATTAAAAGAACCTCAATGCATAAACCGCCAATAGCATGCTCCAAGTTCTCTTAGATAATAGAGACTTGGTTCTATGTTATGTTTTAGGACAAATCGCAGATAGTTTTATGTGGATATTACCAAGCAATAGACTAAAAAATAAGACATTATGATTCAATAAGGGGATATATTATTTATAGGCTTCACGACAAAGATTCAAATGATTAGCCGGTTTCTGAAAAATTGCCCTAGATAAGTAAATAGTTTTCTTAGCATAAAAAAAAACCCCAATGCAGAAACCTACTTTTATTCCCATCCTTTAACGCTCTCTAAAGGCTTTTAAAGTTTTAGAGAGTTTCTCTCTAGAAATATGAAATTGATATAGTTTTTTGTTATAAAAATTTGAGATAGTTTTCTCTACAATTTGAGATTTGAGATAGTTTTCCTCTCTAGAAATTTTGAGACAGTTTTTCTCTATAAAATTTTTTAAATTTGAGATAGTTTCACTTTCACTCTAAACAATTCGAGATAATTTCTCTCTCTAAAATTTCAAATTTCAAAATTTTCAAAAAAAATCTATTTGAAATAGCACAGGGGTATTTTTATCCTAAAAATTTTCTTATTTTGGGGGCCGGTGGGGTGTGGGGGGCGGATACAAAATCAAACATTATTAAAGTTAGTGATGTAGCATAGAAATATTGAGGGGGTATCTAATTTATTTATTTATTTTTTGTCCCGAATATCTCGTGAGCAATCAACAAGAGTGGATTTTCTATTCTGGTTGTATCTTAATTCTGGCCTTTTCTTTGAACAGTAGGTGACATGTGGGCACAACCCTAAGCCTAAGCCTAGTTCTGGAGTCCTGGGCCTATAAAAAGAAGTTGGAACTCTCTCTTTCCAGGGTTAAAAGTGAGACAAAAGGTAGACTGTCCCATTATTATTGCGCAGGATCCTAGGGCAAATAACAAGTGGAGAAGGGTGGGGCTAATGAGAAGGAAAGGGCATCAACTATGAAAAAGTGGTGGTCCTCACCTCTGTGCATAGGGACCACTGGTGGGACCACACGCTTTTCCCGTGGTCCCCAATCCCCAATCTCACGCGACCTCTCTCTGATAAATATAACTGCTTCTCAGTTCTCAGTAAAAAGAAAATAACAAAAAAATTTCTTGATTCTTAGTAACGCATGAATGCTCTCAAGCGATCATATTGTATATTTGCCCCTCTGGTAAAAGATAAAAATATTTTTAACATGTAATTTTTGAAACCATTCTAGCATCACTGTTTGGGTAATTTGGGGGAATGAGCAAATTTTCATACTAGGGCTGGCAATGGGCCAGGTGACCCAGCCTGGCTCAGTCGGATACTGGCCTTAAAAATGTAGGGTTTGGCCACGAATAATGGCCGGTGACCCAGCCTGGCTCAGTTGGATACTGGCCTTAAAAAAGTAGCGTTTGGCCACGAATAATGGCCGAGGACCGAGCTAGGGCCGGTTCTCGGTCTGCCCCGATCCTCATTTCTTCTTGTTTTTTCTTTTATTTTTCTTCATTTGTTTTTGGCTCAACCTGGCTCTAACAGTGCAAGGGATAGGGCTGGCCCGGCACCTCACCCCTTATTCATCCACGGAAAAAGTTTATATAAGGATGTTACCTTATAATGTAGAGAACTATGGATGCCTCTCAAAAATCCATCGGAAAAGGTAGTTTTAATGTTGAAAAACCCTTTGATTGATCATCTCGACATCGAGATGTATGACTATGAAAAATAAAAAGATTTTAAGTCTCAAAAATAGTACATTTTACAACATATTATCTACACCGTCCATTTTCAAGATTTTCATATGTTATAGATCTACTTGATTGTTACCATTTTTAAAATTTAAAATTTTATAATTAGATATAAAAATATATTTTGAGATAATCCTAGTAACATTTTACATCAAAATTACATACCATGATAAAAGTTGAAGGGCACGGTACCTCTACACCTACGGAGGCGTCCGTATGCAAACTGCACCCTTCATCCACTAGATTTGACTGTAAAAATTTTAATGGTTAAAGTGCATTTGCAATTATTTATTTATTTAGTTGTTGTGCTGAATAGGTAACTTACTTTGCCAAAATCTGGAATCTTAAAAATACTATTTTACCCCTAGGGGCAAATGTACATTTTGCTCCTGTGGAACATAGAATGTTTTAACCCAATCTCTCTCTCTCCTCAGCTAAAAGAATAACAAGAAGGCACGCAACACACAGAGGATAACAAGAACATTCACAATATGCATCACACCCCATATGCAATCTACCTCATAACAAGAACGTACACAATACACAGTCTCTCTCTCTTCATTTGTAATCTACGGTAGCCAATAGAACAGCAAGAACGTATATAATAAACAGAACCTGTGTATGGTGTCTCTCTCACATTTAATATCTCTTCTATGAATTCAGTAGATATAAAGTTTAGGGCTCTCTCTCTCTCTCTCTCTCTCTACATATGTAATTTAGGTTAGCTGCTAGAGAGAGAACATACCTTATGGACCGTATAAGGTAGATAGCCAGGGTTTATTACCAAAGAAAGAACAGTGGAGATCAGTTTTCATTTGGATAAAGATTTAAGCCCTGCTAGTGTAAAAATCCATCGTCAGTGGTTATGCATGGATGGTGGATGTCAAGGCCACGTATCGAATAGCTTCCCCATTCATCCATTGTCGGTGTTTTCGAAGTTCAACTTGGCTCTCACTTGCTGGGGTCGCAAGTCTGAGCCCTTGTCGGACTTGAGTAAATTCTGATTCGGCCTAGCGAATAATAATAATAATAATAATAAATCGTGTTTCTTATTGAAAACAATGGAGATTAAGGTGATTTCTAGTTTGTGAGATTTGAATCACCAATCCGAAATGACTCGGGCGAGTTACTAATCGAATAGGAGATTCTTTAGATGTTTGTACGGTTATTGGGTTTGTGCAAGGCAAATGAAGAATACCAAACCAACGAGCTCAGGATATAACTCCCCTTAAGCTCTGGGTGTGTTTCAACTCCAAATAAAGTAAGATTATGCAATGATTAGGATGGAAATAGTGTTTACCCGAATTTTATGATCCACTTGAGCGTGTGAGGCTTGCCTCGGGCCGAGTACCTCAGACTAGATATTAAGTACTCAGCCCGAGTTATGAACTACTGAGAAAAAAATAAAAATAAAAATAAAAATAAAATAAATAAGAAAATTGATGCATGGCCAAAGGGAAAGAATCCTCAGCCACGTGACTCACCTTTTTTTATTGAAATAATGCATCTCTCACACATACCCACCCCTCCTCTCTCCTCTTGCATACCACCCAACAACACAAATCTCTCTCTATACCATGGCATCTCTCTCTCTCACTGACTCGAAGACACCCAACTAGTGCATATCTGTAGGGTCCTCGAGAACACCTCGCTTGCAAAACTATGAACCCCAAATACTCGGATGCCTCCCAAGGCTTTTAATATAGTTGACCAAATGCGAGAGAAGTAAATGCAACAACAAAAGACATGTGAGAAATAAAACAAATACAAAAGATGCACCGCAGCAACACACAATTTATATGGTTTAATACTCAATGCTATGTCTACTGTCTTAGCAAGTAGAAAGCCAATATCACAATAAAGATTGCAATTTTGGATTACAGGAGATATACATTTCTCTAAATATTGGCAAAAACCTAATTAATCTTTACTTCTAAACCCGCTCTTTTGACCAAACAACATTGTTGATGAACTTTATTTTTTCACTGCTACATAACTACCAGAAAGAGAACCTTGAGAGCAACCAATAGATTTTCTCTCTCTAAAAGTGAAAGTTTAACCAACTCAAAACCCTATAGAAAAACTACCTCTCTTTACGAGGCCATTTCTTTCTCTTTTAGAGATCCATCACCTTCTTGGAGATCTCTTACCATGACCTCAAAGGAGTGACCCTTAAAATGATGAGTATTATGTTTTCGGTGATCCTTGGTTATAGAGATTATTAGGGTTTCTTTCTCGCTTCTCAACAAATGGGAGACCCTAAACAATCAAATTAAGGGGCACCTCAAAAATTTCACAGAAGAGTTGTTTCGATTCTTAAAAATACTCAAATTGATCATCTCAACCTCAAGATGCATGGACATGAGAAAAAATGGATTTCAAGTTTTGGAAGTAGTGCATCTGGTAATGCATTTTTAGTCCATCAGTTTTCAAGATTTTCAAGTGTTCATAGATTTGCTCGATCTATACTATTTTTTAAGCTTTAAATTTTATAATTAGAGATAAAAATAAATTTTTATGTCATCACAAAGATTTCCAATATTGAAACAGCATATTTCGACATTATTTGAAGGTGCGATTTACTTTGATTGTTTAGGGCCTTGGCCTTATTCAAAGCACACCCTTAAAAGATACGATTGACATTTTAAGATTTTGAAAAATATTTACTTAAAGCTGCCCTACCATAATAAGTAGGGTTGCAGCCTCTTGGCCATCCAAATATTTAAACAGTGAAAATTGATGTATTTCTGTTTTCTTTTGATTTCTCATTTTGAAACTAGTTTGCCGTTAGGCAGGTTGTTCCCAGGATGCCTAAACGTTTTGTTCATCATCAAGCATTTGCTCCATGGAAGGCGACTATCTTTATCTTTTTTCTTTTGGTTGAATTCTCTCTCTGAAACTAGTATGCCATTGAATATTATTGGGAGTGTTTTTCTTGGGGGTTTTTCTCTTTGAAACTGGTATGGTATGTTCTGTGGCTTTTTCTAAAACTTATATGAAGTCTTGCTTGGAGGGTTTCTCTCTCTAAATTTGTGTTTGGTGGGTTTCTATCTAAGAGGTTCGAAGTTGGATTTGAGTGTTTGATGACAATTTCTTCTATCTCTAAATCTGATGGCATGGTTTAAAAAGTTATACTGATTTGAAGAAAAGAGGAGAGAAATCTCAGATAAAAGAAAGAAAGAGAAAGGGTCAACAAATTGGTAAAATGGTAAATAGAAAACTAGGGCTCTGGGAAGCCCTGGTTCGTTCGGGGTGCCAAATCTATATTGTCCAAATAAATGGACGGTGTATATGGTTGCAGCCCTACTTCAACAAGTAAAGATGCGGCATTATAGAAACCGTATCCCGATGTTTTACGATGAAGTTCTTCTTTTTTCCAGGTTCATTGTTACTTCACGTTTCAAATCGTGGTTATTTTTACAAGAAAGAGTTTATATGAGGTATCAACCTTACATTGTATAAGTAAGGTGCACCTTTAAAACTCACTTAAATATGTTATTTCGACGCTGCAAAACCCGCTAAATTATCTCGACCTCAAGATATAGAAAACAAGTTGATCAAGTCCTGAAAATTATGCATTTTGTAATATCCTGAAAGTTGTGCATTTTGCAATATATTATCTAGACTGTTTATTTTTTTGACATTTTCAAGTATTTATAGAACGACTCGATCTACGTCCTTTTTGGAGTTTTAAATTTCGTGATTTAAGGGTAGGCATGACTTTTAAATCTATCGTAGGGTTTTTGGCACCACAACAATATCTTTCTATACAATTTAAAGGTATGCTTTATTTTGATTGTTTAATGTTGACGCCTTTTACGACCCACACTATAATTGAGAAAATATTTGAGCAAACATTTTCAATAAAATATACCAATTCAGATTTGAAGTTTCAGGTCCTCCACCTGAAATGAATTTCTGCTTCTTTCAAAATTTCATAGGGAAAATTATAAATAACCCCCAATAATAGACTACCTATGCAGCTTACCCCCAACCAAGCTTTTTTTCTTAATTTTTACTCCAAATTTAACTTTTCTAGCAAGTATCCCACAAGTCAAAAAAATCACATTTTTTTGACGAAAATACCCATAGTGTCGGACCGCCCTCATTTTGTGCAGACCACATGTCCAAAGTGCCGGAACACCCATATTTTATGTCAGACTGCCCCTATTTTGTGTCTGACCACATGCTTTCCAGAAGCCTAAAGTGCCGGACAACTCCCATTTTTGTACTGGACCGCATGCCCAAAGTGCTGTACCACCCCCATTTGGTGTCGGACGGCCCCTATTTTGTACCGGACCACATGCTTTCCAGAAGCAAAGTGCTGGACCGCCCACATTTTATGCTAGACGACATGTTTTTCAGAAAGTATTTTGGTCTTAATTTTACCTTTTTTATGACTTGGGGGTATTTGCT